CTATCTATCTATCTATCTATCTATCTATCCATCCATCCATCCATCCATCCATCAAACTTTTAATCTATCCATCAATCTGTCTGTATGTATGTCTACCCATCCATCTATCTATTTTTCTATCCGACATATCAGTATGAGAGGTCAGAGTTCACTCACCCCTATGATGGCGTTGAGCTCTGCCATGGTGACCTGTTTGGCACGTTCCACCGCCTGAACAACCTGCTGTTGATGCTGATACACACAAAGATACATGGTAAGACAGAGATGCAGTATACACACTTGTAGACAAAAACCCAAGCACACTCAAATAAAATGTGAATTAAAGTCTCACAAAAATGGTATTTATCCTCCATCTCTCTCACACTCTCTCGCTCCATCCCTGTCCATCACACACACACACACACACACAGTCAGTATTGACAGACATATCACTCTGTCCTTCCCCGTCAGCAGACACTAACTCAAGCTAATGCTAAAGGTGACCTCCCAATCAATACAGTTCCGCCTGATCTTTTATTGCTCATCTGCCCAAATAAATCCTCCTCATTTAAAATGAGGATCCATTCCAGACGTTTTATTGGACCACAGCTATCCTCAAATGAAAGGGAGCTCTATCAGTATACATTATATTAAAGGTTATATTTACAAACAGACTGTATGAAAATAATGAACGGTAAACAGATGTTATTTACAGAAGTCTTACTTTTATTTAGTCAGAATAACAGAACTGTGGCTGATTAATGGGTGAATCTCAAGAAGAAAAATTGACAAATGCCTTTTTTTTTGCTTAATTAAAATTGAAATGAACAATATTTAATCAGATTATTATAGCATTATGCACAACAATAATAATAATAATTAATGATAAATTAACATATAATATACTTTAATATTATATAATAAAATAGCACGTCATATAAATATATATCAATATAAATTATATAATAAAATTATATATATTAAATATATAATGTTCTTGCAAATATTTTTAAGAAATGATGTTAATCCTTTCTCATTTTCCATTTCGGTTTTGAACTCTAAAGGTGAGTTGCATTAATTCATAGTTTGCATTCATGCAGAGCCCACTGTAGACTCCAGAGGACTGTAGCTCCAAAGCTTTGAAGATAGCAATGGATCTATGGCTCCTCGACAAGGGAACTGGAGCTTTGAATATGCTGGGACACAGAACAAACCATTCCAGTCTTAGCCATCCATACTAACACAACAACAACAACAAAAAACATCAGGGTCGGAAAAAGTGGAGAATGCATAAATTATGACACTTATTTTTGGGTGAACTGTCCTTTTAATTTGTTTATTTTCACCAAGAACTCCTCAATTTGTATATGAATCACTAGAATTGGATGTTCTGACTCATTTGAAAGGTGAGTCATTGTTGGACTTCTGGTTCAGCCAATGGTGTGACTTTGGAGCCTGCTTGTAACACTAGTAGCAGAACTGCTAATAAAGCAAACAGTGATGCTGGACTCAAGCTGAATTTGCAACCTGAGCTCATCAAGTCATCGCAGACAACTTTCGGTAACTGAACGCGGCAGGAGTTTGCGGCTTCGTTAAAAAACGCAGGATATCAGCAATCCTTGTTTAGTCAGAGATGTGAGACAGGGTCGTTAAAATCTAGAAGCTGTCTGCCATACTGAGGGTGGATCAGTTTGACGGGGAGGGGGGAGAGAATGTGTGTGTGTGTGTGTACGCCTGTGGGAGAAGACCCCAGAACCCTGATGAGCTGTCAATCACTGTCAGCGTACCTCCTGAGAGAGGAAAGGGATGATTTGAGCACAGATAGCACTGAGTCGCTTCACGATCTCCGCCTGCAAGAGAACACACACGTACACATGCTCGATTAGAAGAGAAAACAGTGACAGTGATAAACCTGTACAACTGCACTGGGCTCTCAATTCCCAAGCACACAAATGGCTTCAGCTTAGATTATATTCATGTCAATGTCTAAGCAACAAAAGATACACAAGACAGAGAAAGTGAATGACAGATAATAATGAAATGAGGGCCATTTAGCACAGCTGGGATGGAGGTTTTAGGTTAATTGTAATTTTGTGCACATGAATGATAAAAAAAACTATTCCTAACACTAGTAACCACCCAGAACACCCAGAAATAGTTAAAGGGGTCATATGATGCGATTTCAATTTTTCCTTTCTCTTTGAAGTGTTACAAGCTCTTGGTGAATAAAGAAGATCTGTAAAGTTGCAAAGACTAAAGTCTCAAATCCAAAGAGATATTCTTTATAAAAGTTATGAGTCAACCACGCCTACCTAAAACGGCTCGTTCTAACACACCCCCACATGTCTACGTCACGATGTGGGAAGATTTGCATAACACCGCCCAAATGTTCACACATCAGACCGATGAGCTTTGTAAAAATCTACGCTTTTCAGAAAGGCGGGGCATAGAGGAGAAACAATAATGTACAGTATGTGGAAAATAATGTGTTTTTTTTTACCTTAAACCGCATAAACACATTTCATTACACCAAATACACCAAATAATGTTCTTTTTAGCAACATCATATGACCCCTTTAAAAAAAAAAAACTCATAAAACCCTAGTAGCCACCAAGAACACTCTAGCAATCACCTAGCAACCATGCATAAATGCCCTAACAACCACTCAGAACACCCTAGCAATCCCCTAGCAACCACCAAGAACACTCAAGCAACCACCAAGAACTATGCATGTAGCAACACTCTATCAATTAGCGACAAAGCAACACGCTACTATCTAACAATACAACCTAGCAATGTGTTAAAAACCACTCATGACATCCTAGCAACCACAGAAATCCCCTAGCAACCACCAAGAACTATGTAGTAACACCCTATCAACTGCATAGCAACGTGACCAGCAACAATCAAACAGAACACCTTAGCAATGCAAAAAACACCCATAAAACCATAGCAACCACCAAGAACACTCTAGCAATCATCTAGCAACCATATAGAAATGCCCTAACAACCACCCAGAACACCCTAGCAACCACCAAGAACTACGTAGCAACACCCTATCAACTACATAGCAACGTACTATTATTAAACAGAAAACCTTAGCAATGCAAAAAACACTATAGCAATCACCTAGCAACACTCTATCAAAGCATAGCAACGTGCTATTAACCAAACAGAACATCCTAGAAATGGGCTTAAAACAACTCAAGATGTCAGAGAAACCACCCAGAACACCCTAAGCAACTGCAAAGCAATACCCTATCAACCATCCAGCAACACCCCTGCAATATGCTAAAAACACTCATAACATCACCCAAAAAAAACCCTAGCAACCAAAAACCCTAACAATGAACTAAAATCACTCATAATGCCCTAACAACCACCCAGAAAACCCTAGCAACCCCTTAACAACCATACAAAATACCCTAGCAATGCACTTACAGCACCTCATGACATTCTGGTAATCACCCAGAACACTTTAGCGACACCCAGCAACCACATAGAAATGCCCCAGCAATGCTCAAGCAATCACCCAGGACATCTTAGCAACCACTTAGAACACCTTAGCAACCACATAGAATTGAAGCAGTGAGTTTCACATGGGCAAGGTTTTCAGAAAATGTGTCTAGTTTGTGTGTGTGTGTGTGTGTGTGTGTGTGTGTGTGCGTGCGTGTGTGATGTTGAGGAGCAAAGCAAACCTGTGTTTTAGAGCTCGGTGTTTGTAGCGGAGCTACTTTAAACTGCACACCACCACACAATATATTAAACAAAATTCATAACGATGTAAAAAAGTAACATACCTGACTTAATGCTTTATATATTTATTAATTAATGCAGATCTATCTATCCATCCATCCATCCATCCATCCATCAGTACAACAATCTATCTATCTAGTACAGTCAGAATATTAACTTATGAAAATCAGGTTATGATATTTCGTAGAGTAGCTACTATTAGCTGGAAACATAATTATTAGCTGGCATAATACTTGTTACTCCTGCCATATGAGACTGCAGACGACTGAACAGAAGCATGTTCAGTTGTTTGCATTTTTTTTTGGGACACAGTGTAGCAGTGATGCTGAACATCTGCAGATTGTGTGCGTGAGTGTGCGCGCGAGTGAAACAGAGCTCATTTGTGTATAATGAGGTTGAGGGAACGAGTGATGTAACCGGTTTGGAATGAAACAGAGTGTGTTTGAGAAAAAGAAAGAGAGCGCAGGAGGGAAATTAAGAAACAGAGGAGGAAAACAAGACGTGTGGATGTTTGCGAGGAAATCCCAGGGTGCCAACGTTTTAGCATAATGGCTTTGTCACTCGATCAAAAGGACCTGAGTAGGTGCAGATGCCCCGCTGCTTGTGTGTTCACATATAGGCTATTTACCCAGAATTCATGTGAGTGTGTGAACATGTCTCCACATTTGCATAGACTTGCTGTGTGTGTGTTCAGCAGTTATTAACTTTCTACCATCCAATGTAATGAATCATATTTTCACTATATCTACATGACTTCATGACATGTTTGCATGTCAGAAAGGCAGCAACATTCGCAGCTCTGGGCCGTTTGCGCTAATTAAATGGCCGAGTATAATATTTGCTCATAAATGAACTGGACTAATGCTCAAATTTAAATATTAATAAAAAAAATCTAAATATTAACATTTAAATAAAAATAAACCTACATAAATTAAATAATAATGATAGAAAAAAAAATCCATCTACATTAATGAAACTAAATCAAAATAACCTATCTATCCATCCATCCATCCATCCATCCATCCATCCATCCAATATCTATGACTATATAAAATAAAATAATTTAAATAACAATATATATATATATATTATATACACACACACACACACACACACACACACACACACACACAGTTTAAAAATAATAATATAATAAAAAGTACAATAAAGAATGTCTGTATCTACATAAAAATTGAATAATAATTAGGATAATTTATATGAAATGTTAAAAATGAACGTTAATTCATATTAAAATAAAAATATATTAAAATCAAAAGTTTTTGGGTATATGACATTGTCAGATGCTGCTTTTGTTTGGACGAGTGTGTGTGAGTTTGTATTTAGTTTGTAATACAGCGCAACAGTGTACACATGTGCAGGAATGTGCCCACATCCCCCCTCTGTAAGTGCTCTCCCCCTCTGCACATTTAATTACCCATGAGCCTTTGTATGTGTATAGGGTTTTGTGCATATATGTGTGCTCGTGTCCTCCTTTGTGAGCGTGTCTGATATTCAGTGCTTTACTGCTCTCTTTTCCTCCCTCGTTCTGTTTCTTTTCTTCCTTTTTCCGAATGGAAGGGCCATCAATCAGAGAGAAAGAGAGGGAGAGCGAGGAGAGGAGGGAGGAGAGAGGGATATTGGCGGAGCGCCAAGGGAAGAGAGGCTGGCACACTGCCCAGAGAAAGAGAGAGAGTGAGCATCACTAGAGCGAGCCAAAATGAGAGGAGGGAGTTTAAGACAGAGAACAAGCACAGATAGAGAGAGACAAGGGGTGAAAGAGACAGCGACTGAGAGAGAGAGAGAGAGAGAGCAGTGTGACAGATGAGGAGAAGAGAAAATGAGGCCTTTATTGAATACCTCTGTGCCTGTGACCACAATCAGTGATTAGAACGTCATTGCTTAATATTTGCCTTTAAATGTCTGAAGAGAGAGAGAGAGTGAGAAAGAGACAGAGAGAGAGAAAGAGGCTCCATTAGACATAAAGAGGGCAGGCTGATAAGACCAAACCTGCATCTGGGGGCATCACTTTAAAGGCGCGTGTGTGTGCGTATTCGTGTGGCTTTATATTTCCACTTTTTTATGGTTCTGCTGTTTTTTTTTGTCCACTATCCCACCTTTCTCTCTTTCACACACACCTCACTGCATTGACTGTAATCATAATGCCAGAGCCATTAGAGGGGCTGTTTCACAGTATTGCTGAAAACCACAGGCGTGCACGCACACACACAGACAGACAGACAGACAGACAGACAGACACATAGACAGATAGA